ATTTTAACTCATTAGATTTATGAACCCCTACTGAGATCGGCTCAGTGCCTAGGAGTGATGAGGGAAATTGTCAAGTATGTATGAGGTCTGAAAGAACAGACTTAATCACAAGAAACAAAACTGTTGATGAAAAATATTCTTTGTACAGTTTAGATCTAAAAGGAAATAAAACCTTAAGTAGATACATGTTTGAAGTCTTTCTGATGAATGAGTTTCCTCCTTGTGTCCTCTACCTTTTCACAACTCAAAATTTTCTAGGTCAATTACCCATTTGGGACCACAAACCTGACCAAGAACCTCTACTTTTAGGCAATGCGCCATGGTCGCTTCTAACCTAAGGGTGTTTTTAAGTTAAACGCACTTTATTTCTCTAAATAACATATTCAAAATCAATGTATTGACCATAAAAAGGACGGAATACCAACAGCAGACTCTTTCTCTGACATGCTGCCAGTGTTGCATCTGTAGCACTATATGCACTTACTGCACTAGTCGGTTTCTTGCGTCTGTCTCTTTAAGAACTGCTCTCTTCGAGGACTCCCTGACGCATTGCAGGTGGCTGTCATCCAATCAAAAGACACTTCCTAGGTCAGCTGACGAATGCCATCAGACTTCTATATATAAACTCTCCGGACCATCCATTCAAACCTGAAAGCCACCGTTGGCTATGAAAAGATGGCTTTTGAAAAGAATAATCCTAAAATAGAAACTTACAGTCGATAGACAACGCCGTATAATATATCGGTTATATCCATCTATCTATATCTGCGCAATTTAGAGTTCGAACATTTCGACTACGTGGCGGAGGAAGATCATAGCAACAGCTTTGTTGTCAAGGAGTGCGACGTCCCACTTTGGACCGAAGTACCAAGGCGTAGTGATATCGAAATTTGGGCGCACAGCAGCAGAAGATAGTGCTTGACAATCGCACGGGTGGAAAGCAAACGCTTGGGATTCTGTTTATTTCCTCTACGTGCAAACGAACGTAGTTCACACTAAAGTACAATGGTAAGTAAGCCTTTATAACTCCTTATCATAATAGCCAAAGTGCAGCGTAGCTACAAAAATGGCTGAGCCTCCATGGCGAGGTGATAGGTGTGAATGGGCTAACGTTACTGTTAGCTTAGCTCCTCGCGAGCTAACCGTCATTCTATTGGAAGCGCGCGAGCTCCCGGGCTAACGTCACTTCAGCGGGTTACACAGTTTTCATTTTTCTCAATGTGGAATAAACAGCTTGAAGCTTTCTGTGTGACGTTTTGCAGCGCTTTCTCGAATCGCAAATGGGCGTGAGATGTTTACAGCAGAAAATGCGCTATACAAGCACATCCTTGACTGGTTCCCTGTTGCTAGCTCGCCTCATGTCGGAGTCAGAAGGCAGATGTAGAGATCGCCCTCATTTACATTAGACAAACCCGTAGCGTCCCTTGTGCCAAAATAGCCCTGCTTTTTCTAATATATCTGATCGGTCACAACATGCTTGTAGTTCCCCACAGCATGCGCACTAATCCATTCAGATGGCCTTTAAGTAACTGTAAACCACATTATAGACCAATAAAAACAATACACCTGTTAATGTGGTCAAATACAGCTGTATTGTCTGCTGTGAAAGCGTTTTGTATTTGTCTAACGTTAATTCAGAACGCCTCATGAATGACAACAAACTTGTAGAACACAAGGTATCAGGTGTTAAACACGTTCCGTTCAATTTAACACGCAATAAATACAGTTAAGCAAGTTCAGACGGAATGGAAACGTTTGAAAATATCTCGGTGCTATTAAAATAATTTTCTTCTTGTGTCCTTCTTATAGGCTGATCAGCTAACAGAGGAGCAGATTGCTGGTATGGAAGATTAACCTTTGCTTCAAACCTCAAATCAGCAATTTCAATGGTGTGCAATAAATTATTTCAATTGCTTTTCAGAATTCAAGGAGGCCTTCTCCTTATTTGACAAAGACGGTGATGGCACCATCACTACTAAAGAGTTAGGGACTGTCATGCGGTCTTTGGGCCAGAATCCTACAGAGGCAGAGCTTCAGGATATGATCAATGAAGTTGATGCGGATGGTGAGGAAGCCCTTCCACAAATAATGCCATGTTAGAATAGCTCTTCTCTTTTTCTAAATCTGTTGGCTTTTCCCCCCTTCAGGCAATGGAACAATTGATTTCCCAGAGTTCCTTACTATGATGGCCAGGAAGATGAAGGACACGGATAGCGAGGAGGAGATCAGAGAAGCATTCAGAGTTTTCGATAAGGTAGTGAAGTGTACTCGCTTATAAATGCCTCTTATTTAAGGTATTTCTTTGGAAAAAAACAAATGTGGAAAGAATGTTTATCTCTTTCAATGACTAATGCTTTACAGGATGGAAATGGTTATATCAGTGCAGCAGAGTTGCGTCATGTCATGACAAATCTGGGGGAGAAGCTTACAGACGAGGAAGTGGATGAGATGATCCGGGAGGCAGATATTGATGGTGACGGCCAGGTCAACTATGAAGGTATTTTCATATATTAATGTCATTGGTGCATTGTGGTATTTTTATATGTAAGTGGATTTTTGTCTGAATAAACGCCAAGCCTGCAGTATAATTATGAAATCAGTTTGTGAAGATTGGCATGTTGATCTCATTCATTTTATTTCCCCCCACAGAGTTTGTCCAGATGATGACAGCAAAGTAAAAACTGGAAACCAAAAGGAGCACAACAGACCAAACAGTGGGCAGCACTCTCACTGTCAACCTTCAACAAGCATTCACAACCCAATCTCTTACTCTCCATTTAGTTTTGCTCTCCTCCACTTTCCCTTAGTTTGATCAGTTGTCTGCTCTGCTTGTTTTTCCAACATGATCTCCTGTCAGCTTTTTCCCTACATTATCTGGTTTTCTTTGGAAGAAAATATTTACATGCACAACACATTTTAAATCTTGCATATATGATGGTGATGATAACAGCAGTGTAACACATGTATCGATATTTTAAAGATTGTGACATACTATATGGACAAGAGCAATGCATGCTTTATTTATGTTTGGCATGTTTCTGTTTTTTTTTTCTTCCCAGCTTGCCTCTTTTTCTAACTTGCTAGTTCTCATTTAACTGCATGTTTCTCATGCAACCTCTGCTCAGTGGTCTTAGAACTGTATGGTGAATAACCATTCATGGATAATCAGGGGCTTTATATAACAAAATGGCTCAAACTTCCATGTCATAGTGTGATTGTTTTTGTAAGTGTAGATCTGTGTGTCTGAGCGAGTGCTTGTAGTTGGATTTAAAGTGGAGCCACGCAGTACAGTTTACGTTTTGGTATAGGGCTTGTTCTTTAGGGACCACATAACTAACATGTAAGATAAAAAGAAAATTAGACAAACCTGTGTAGAATAATCCCGGAAATGGTTAATTGGGGACCAATTATTTTCAGTTAGTTAGTTAGTTTGCTTGTTTTGCCCCTTTTTGTATTCTTTGAGAGAAACATGGTGGAAAGACTTTGACCTTCTTTCCAAATTGCATTTCCTCACTAATTTCACTACGGCAAAGCAAATGCCACCTATTTGTTCTAGACTGGTGTAGAGAGGTTTATTGTTTGGTTTGAGCTCTATTAGTGTGGAGTTTGTACTGAAGATGTAGAATAGTTTTCACCGAAATATACAGTCTTAGGTTTTGATGCTGCACTCGGTGTCCCAGTCAGTGGACCATTTCTGTCTAGGGAAAAATATTAAATCTTAAGCTGTGTGCTGGTTCTTCCTGCAGGCTGTTCAATATATTTGTATACATCAAAAGCACCTGCATTTTATGATCTTTTTAGAATCTTTTCTCATAATAACAACAGCATGTTCTCTTCCATGGTCCTGTAGTTGTGGTCCATACACAGTGGCAATTGGGATGGTGCGTAATGCTTGTCATCCAGTTAGACTGTGTCTGCCATGTTGGTGCAGCAACTGCTGCCATGAAACCTACAAATGCAGGCGCTTTGAATGAAATCCATTTTTTTGTAACTGTATAGACCAAGGTTAAACAAACAGCGCTTAATGGTAGAATCGCATACATTATGGTGGTAGTATTGCATCTTCTGCCCCAGTTCTTAATTTATTCTACTGTTGTGTTTTCTTGTTTATGACCTTTATATGCTGTTTTTTTCGTTCTGAGATCTAAGTTTACTGTCCGGTTCTTTTTTTCCTCTCTCTTCTTCTGCCCATAAGGTAATAGTAAATAATGAAAGGTTATGCATTCCATTGCAGAACTCTGGTTTTCTTGCTAAATAAACATCTTGGACCTCTGTTTCTAAATTACCTCTTTTTGTTCATAACACTGTTGCCTATATAACTGTAAACCTGCATGGGCTTATATTAAAAAAATAGTGTAAGAGAGACAGAAAAGTGCATTTAATGTATATCTATTGTGTTTATTGTCATTTGTTTGCACAAGGCAATATTAGGCTGTTTCATTACATTTTTAGTCCAATTAAGAATCACAGTGTCCACAACATATCACACATTACATCATATACAAGGTTTGCACATATTTCAAACAAAACCGTTAAAGAGATTTTTTCATAACTCTGGAATGACCCTTACTAAGATTAACCATGGCTTTATTGTAGTAAAAGTGTAGTAACCATTGTTTTTTGGCGTATTGATTACCATTTGTATAACCACAGTTTTACTACAAATATGGTTAGTGTAACAAACTTTGGTTACAAAGGTTTAACAATAGTAACCATATTTTATTTGTAGTAAAACCATGGTTAATTTTCGTAAGGGGTGTAAAATAAGAAACGAGGGTAACAGGAAAGTCCACAATCCATTTGTAGTTTTGTCCCGCAGTGAAACTACAACACCCAAGTACTGCATGATTTCCCCCAAGTGTCCCTGTACAGAGATGTTGCTGATTGACGTGACGCAGAACGAATAAGGTACTGCCGAGTTCAGCGGCAACCAATCGCATCAATGACAAGTGAGACGTGGGCGGGGACTCCTGTTTCAGTGCATACACCAATCGTTTACCAGCATACAGATGGGTGGATTATTGATTCAAGAAAAAAATTTTGCAACGGGCCAAACAATAAAGAGAGTGTTAAGTGATTTGGGACAGGACAAGCCAGCTCAGACGATTTGAGCGCACAATTTTCAACGTCCAGCAGGAAATCTGGACCCATCGGCCACGATATAACACACTGACTGTCAGATGATGTAAATAAGCGAGTTTGGGTCAGGCAGATTTAGTTACTTCGCTACGTATTCACTGAATTTAAGCACCGAGGTTTCTACGTCTTCACGTTCCTTCTACAAGGAACAGGATTGGACACCAGAACGCAACTGCTGTGAGACAAGAATAAGAAGGTAAGACTGCATCCTCGCATGTAATGCGTTCATCAGATCAGATGATGCACGCTTTTTGAGACCGCTGGTCTAAGCTATGTTATATTGCATGTATGATGTGCTCAAGTTTCTGCCCTAATAAACATTAGCTGCATGATGTGTAAACTTCATGCACAATAAGTGCATATTATTTAAAATGAACAGACAGTCATGGCTTCTGCAGTAAACATTTATTAAACTCAGAGATAGAGTTTGTTTTTGAAGTCGTGCAGCATGCGACCAAAGGGCATGCTTTCCTCTGTTTGCTAACGCATGTGCCAACTGAATGAATCAAACTGGACAAGCAGGTGGATTTAGCTCACTTTGTTGACCTATAAACTATTCGCTGCCACATAGCCAAACATAAACGCTTCCTGGCTGCGAGTCAGGTTAAAAAGCAAAGGAGCTATGAAGGTAAAATGACGTCAAAAAGATTTGCATACGGAGGGTAAGAGTTGTGGAAGTGTACATAAGACTGTAAGCGTAAATTAAATTTGCATGCGCAAGAGAAGCTTTGTAAAGGTGTAAATCGCGTTTCAAGAGCAAGAAAAAATATTTGCAGCATTTTACTGCTGATTAACAATACATGAATTACACTTACGAGAAACAGTAAAATGCTGCAACTATTTTTTTCTTGCGCTTGAAACGCGATTTACACCTTTACAAAGCTTCTCTTGCGCATGCAAATTTAATTTACGCTTACAGTCTTATGTACACTTCCACAACTCTTACCCTGCGTATGCAAATCTTTTTGACGTCATTTTACCTTCATAAGGAGCAGCTTTCTAATGTGAAAGTTGTTATTGATTGCGTAGCAAGTTCAGGTTCAAGTTGGCAGCTGTCGATGGCCTTTTAACGTTCATCTGTCCAATCCAATCCAAGCAGTGTCAAAACTGTCTAGGGATGCCCATATGATGCATAAAACCTTTTTATTTGGACAGTTTGCTTGGACACACATTCAGACCATTTGCGTCATTTTGTGTTGTACGGAATCAAGGTATCTTGGCATTCTTGAGAACATACAAATTTATAGTTTAAAAGTGCACTCAGTATTTTTTGCTTATTAAAAAGTTTTGCAAAATACTGATTTAGACATCAATAACTTGATTTTCTCTACATGGAGCTTATCGCCCTTATGGGCACCGGTCTTGCCTCAACAGCACAGCACACATAAAATAATTTTGGATTATGATAGTACTAATACGTGCATTTCATGGAGGTGTGTAGAATATCACGAACGAAAAGGAGCAAAGCAAAGAGCCAAATGGCAGCAGTCAGCTCATGCATTCAGGCCGAAGGTGTCAGTAAAGTCCAAAACCACTATTGGGACATATTAGAGCTAAACGTAAAGAAAACCTTTTTTTTTTTATATGAACTAAAAAAAATAATAAAGTAATTAGATTTTCTGAATGGTGCAGGAAGTGTAAAGTCAAAGGTTGATTTGAGAATGAAGGTAATTCCTGTTTTGTGAGACTTGTCAGTTAATTCCTCCTCAGAAGTGTCTAAACACGCCTGTTAAAGAAGACTCTTACCTTGAATTGTTATCAGTTCATTCAAGACACAACATGCTATGCTTATGTCTAAGCATCTGTTTTTATATATATATATATATGTATGTATATGTATATATATGTATGTATATGTATATATATGTATGTATATGTATATATATGTATGTATATGTATATATATGTATGTATATGTATAT